AATTACTGTATTAAAACAAACACATCAAACAGTGAGTATGTTATTGTTTATAAAGCTTTTATTTAAGAGTCACATTTAAGTATTTTGATATATCACTCAAAATCTTATGGTGGTGACATCTGACGGTGTTGACAAATTTGGCATTTCTTTCACAAAACCAATGGAGTTCATGTAGTAGCCATTTTATTTTTTCTGTTGATGCTAGATGCTAATGGAACCTGCTTAAGGAGAATCAAATTATCTAAATATTTCAAATAATTTCCTCAGAAATTGGAAGATGGTGTTGACATATCATGGCTGTGACACAGGAAATTTGAACATTAGGATTTAAAATATTCTAAAACTATGAAACTTCGCAGAGCCTGTCTGACACTGATGTACTCTGCAGAGGTGAACTGTGGCAAGGGGGTCCTTTAGAGTGACAGCTGCCCGATATTCTCTGATTCTATTACATTTTATTGAATGTCTGACGGTGTTGACAAAAAGTGGGGACGCAACTTTAAAATCGTATTAAACATGCATGTTAAAAAACAACCTTGCTTTGATAGGAGATTTTATTAAGGGTTGCTTTTGATAAAACAAGCTCTTTTTCATCATTAAAAAAAACATTTTTATCAATTTTATTACATATGAATGATTGAACCCTTCTCTGTGGACACACTGTTTTAGATGTAGTGAGAGGACATTAAGAAACATAGATTTGGTATAATAATGAGAAAATTAAATTGAAGGTGATAATTGTGCTAAATACATTCTATTATTAATCCCTCATGACATTTAAAATTGAAAATATTTTTATTTTCAAACCTAATAGCAGTTACCCTTGCTGGACCTGTTTTGTCCCATGTCTCAAGAATGACTGCTTAGTGACTTGGAACTCTTTAATATGATTCCAATTCTAAGCCAAATAGTCATTTCAGCATTTACCATTGTGCAGACGTTAGTCAACTAGATAAGAAAGAAAATATGAGCTAATGAATAGCTCAGACTATTATACTCATATAAACTATTCATTTTGTCAAGAAGGACCTTGCAAAATTATGTTATTGTGAATCTGCAGTCCAACCCATTACTTATACCTGGGAGCAATTCATAAACAATGTAACAAAAAGTATTTCAAAATTTCACTATGCTTTTTCAAAAACAATAACAATATATAACTTTAAGCTTTCCTCCTACAATTTACCTTGAGGTTCTCGTGCGTCAGCGTCAGTTTCTCCCTGCAGAGCCTGATTGAGCAGCTGCTGCCCGGTCTGACCAGTCGAGAACGGCGATCTTCATGATCTATCTGGACACTGGACAGAACCTTGCTGCTAAAACACGAGAGTGTGTGAAATGACAGCTGCCATTACATAGTCACACTCGTTTGTACAACACCCCAGAGAAAGGGCTAAAAATATGAATAGAGATTCTTACAGGAATAAGGTTCATGGAAAAGTTCGTTTTTAATCTGCTTGTGATATAACCTGCTTAGCTAATGTCCGGAAATGACATTTATTATATCAAGACTCCTCCTCAAGGACAACAACATTACATGTCTTTGCGGACACATTAAAACTGAAAGTGTTTTTAGGGAAAAACACACTTTCCGAGGGAAGATATTTGTAAATGATCTTAAGAATGTGAGCATTACCAAATAAAACATTTATACATGTCGTCAATGCACAAACACCTAAGAAAACAACGAACTTCAGTGACATAACGCATGTCATCTAAGCGCACTGTGTGAATGCGGTGATGATCAGCAGCTTTTGATGTGCAAAAAGCCCAGTGTTTATCCTGCATGGATCGCAAAAAACACACATCAGTAAAAATATTCTTGACAACAAGCAAACTTACTCAAAAATCTCTCCTGACGGTGTGGGTGGCAACGCAACAGTAAACACATGCATGCGCTCTCTGCTGTCAACAGCTGCTGATATAACGTGTGGACTCGAGTGCGCATGCGCTTTGCGAGAATTGCACGCAAGAGTCCTACCAGGAAAAAAAGAAAAGAAAAAAAGCTACATTACATTATAATACAAAATGTCGCGTTCTGTTTTCTTTAAAAAAAATGTTTTACATTTAAATCTGTAGTAAAAATATATATTTTAATCAACAATCGTTTTTGTAAATCGTAGTTATGCATATTTTTTTTAACGTATGTTTGTAATCGGTAAATATAAGAACGGTGTGTAACTGTGCAGACTGCAGTTTATGTTCTATTACAAAAAGCCCATGTATCGTCAAGTTATGTTTAGCACGGACCGTACTCATGAACTGAATCCCAGGAACGTCTCGAGGGAACCCATGAAGAATTAATCTTCTGGGTTTGACATCATGGCTGTATTGTTAGAAATGTAATAAATATTTTGATTAGCCTGTACGTTTTTCTTTTACTTTTTAGTTTTTGTTGAATGAATAATTGCGACCACAGAAATATGTAAATGGAGAACCAATGAAAATCTTCCAATATACCCATAGCCTAAATAACGCGAACTGTACTGAAATGATTCCAGGATGGAAACATTAATCGGACGGACCAAGCTTCATGATCAACAGAACCTTTATTCACAGCAAAGCTTTACGCGTGAAGCAATTTTATTTGATTTCACACCGCAATAAACCAAAAAAGTTAGGCACAAGTGTGTGGACAGTGGACACCACCCCCTTCTGGCTAATATGTTACTGTCACAACAATCACTTCAGTTCCGTTTTCAAATACAGAAGTTGGGCAGAGCGTGAAGGAGTCTTTGGTTTCGCATGTTCAGATGTCACCATCACAAGGACTGTTAGTGTTCAGTATTCACCATGAAGCTAGAGATTTGTCTGTTGCTCGGCGTGACAGCTTTCTGCGTATCGACAGCTGATTTCTCTCCTCCAGTGGTAAATATCAGTCTGGACGTGCCTGCAGATCAGCGATGGACTCCTCTGAAGAACCTCTATGACATCGATTTCTTGAGAAAAGCTGCATCTGAAGTGATCGAGTAAGTATCAGACCGTCTGATAACCACACGCACGCTACGAGAACATGTTGCTTTCGTTTGCATTCTTGCGATTTTGACCAGAACCAGTTTGGCCATTAAATCATTTTACCTAGCTGACAAGTTTAAATATCACAGAATGTCACCAAATACTTAAGTTTGCAACGCATTAAAATGCAAGTGATAAAAAATAAAGCGCTGCTGACATTCCCCTCTGTTTTTTAATGAAATGTTCGGTCACATATTATTTTAAAGTCCAATTCTCGCCTGAATAAACTTCTAATTTGTTAGTAATAGTTAGCACGGTAGTTATTAAGTTTAGGTATTGGGTAGGATTAGGGATGTGGAATATGGTAATGAAGAATATGTGCTTTATAAATACTAATAAACAGCCAATATGTTAATAATAGAAATGCTAATAAGCAACTAGCCTAGATAATATAGTGAGAATTAGTCCCTATACTAAAGTGTTACCATAAGTTCTTTAACTTTGTAAATTTTGTTTGTCATCAACCTAGATCCACATTTATGTCTTACAAACCCTCTTTTGCAGCTCAACTGTTCCCAAATGGGTTCATGATGCAGTTAAACCGATAGTGAACGCTCTGGAGAAATACATCCCACAGCCGTATGCTGGAGAAATACAGGGCATGGCATCCTTCTATGGCACTGACATTGCAGATATTGTGCTGTTGAACTTTGCCTATGAAGTATCTGCGTAAGTACTTCACTTTTTGGTACAGTAGCTCTCTTGAAGTGTTTTAGTTGTCAACCTTTTTTTTCAACATTAATTGTGGCTGCTTTGCTTTTTTTTTAATAGCTTTTGCACCAGTATTGTAACTCAGGATACAAAGGGCAATATATACCATGGCAGAAACCTGGATTATCCCCACGATGTGCTCAGAAATCTTACTCTAGATGTACTTTTTATTAAAAATGGAAAGGTATTGTTAAATTATATATTACATTGTATTATATTATATTACATTATATTATATTATACTCTTGAATCTGCAAGTCGTTTCTCTCCAGGTGGCATACAGAGGAACTACTTTTGCTGGTTATGTTGGGCTGTGGACAGGACAGAGCCCCAACAAGTTTACAGTGTCTGGCAACGAACGCAGTAAGTTGATTTTTTAAAAAGACATGGTCTAGTGAATTTTGTGGGGTTTTAATTTATATCTATATTTCTACAGATAAGGGACATTGGTGGGAGAATGTAATTTCAGCAGTTTTATTAAAAAGTTCTCCAGTTAGCTGGCTAGTGCGAGAGGTGAGAGAACAAATGTATATAAAATTCTAAATATAATTCAGTATTTCAAAATACATTTACTTACTGGTGCAAAAAGAGACTTTTGCATTGAATAAATCTGTATATTTTTGATTTCTTTAGACTCTTGAAGCAGCTGTGGATTTCCAGGATGCAGTATTGAGACTGGCCAAGGTGCCGATCATTACAGATGTTTATTACATTTTGGGTGGTGTTCATGCTGGTGAGGGTGTGGTCATAACCAGAGACCGAAGTGGATCAGCTGACATCTGGCCTCTTGATCCACTTAATGGATAGTAAGCACCAACCATAATTTTGTAATTACATAAATTAAAATGAAAGACATAAAGCGATGCCAGTGCAACATTAGGCTCTCATTCATATAATACTTGTGTTGTCCTTAAGGTTTTTACATTACTAAGCCTCTGATTTTTACTGTTGCTTATTATAGCTGGTATAGAGTTGAAACCAATTATGACCACTGGCTACCCGCCCCTAAACGAGACGAACGAAGGCAAGCAGACAATACATTTTTATTAATAACATGAAAGCACAAATGTGTGATTATTTAACCGAACAGTTTAGGGATTGCTTTTCACATGTCCTGGTCTTGTTTCAGATATGTGGCCATGAAAGCACTGAATGCCACTGGTCAAAACCATATTAGTATGGATTCTCTGTATCAGGTAAATGAATAAATCCATTTTGTCTGCCTATTATTGTCATCGGTTGTGGCATTTATTTCTGTCCTACATTGTTAATAATGTACTACAAAATGTGTTCTTGTTTGTTATTATCATAGTCATTTCTGGATTTAGATATTAAAAAAGATGAAACTTTAATGAGACTTCCCTTGTGTTTGTGAAAGCATGCAATCCTATTACATAATTTATTGACTGATGTGTTAAGTGATCATTTCTTTTTCATTGTTACAGGTTTTATCCATGAATCCAGTATGTAATAGGTAAGGAGGAGAGTAATGCAGCATTTCACCTATCACATGATATTTTATGGTTGTGTAATGGCCTCATGTAGAGTGCTCATTTCTCGTATGTGGTAACCAGTAGTACAAACATGAGCACACTTCCTTCTCATGGAGGTTATAATATTAGAATTTAACAATGCAATGCCGAATTTAGGAATTTCCTGGAGATTCTGTAGAAACCAGTCATGTGAAGCTTCTGCCTATTCACACGTACAACTTCACAGACACTCATTGTTTAAGCCACTCAGCTGTAAATTAGAACAGTCCAAGCATTGATCTCTGTTGAACTCTCACCCTCTTTCATGTCTGGTGCCCAACAACTCAACACTGATTCTCAACTCATCTAGCTTTACTAACTTACTTTATTGAAGGTGGACGAGAGCGCTGTACATTCACTCCCCCCACCTACAATCCCTGCCGGTACGAGACTCAAACCTGCAACCTTTGGGTTACGAGTCAGACTCTCTAACCATTAGGCCACGACTTCCCCAGGCCCACAACATTATCACTATCACTGTCTGATGGGTTTGCTGCCAAAAAGCTTTTTTTTTTGTTTGTTTCATCCGACCATAGAAGCCAGTGCCATTTGAAGTCATGTCTGACAACTGAATATGGAGTTTGTTTTTGGATGAGTGAGGAGAACTTTTCTTGAAACCCTCCCAAACAAGGCTTTTTGACCCTAAGACTCAACTAATCTCTGCAATTCTCCAGCTGTGATCCTTGGAGAGTCTTTGGCAACTCAAGCTCTCCTCCTCAGCATGTATTAGGACGATATAAACACACGTCCTCTTCCAGGCAGATTTGTAACATCTTTAGTTGATTGGAACCCCTTAATTGTTGCTCTGTTGGTGGAAATGGGTATTTTCAATGCTTTAGCTCTTTTTTACAGCCACTTTCTATTTTGCGAAGCTCAACAACCTTGTTCTGCACATCAGAACTATATTCTTTGGTTTTACTCCTTGTGATGGGTGATTAAGGGAATTTGGCCTTTGTGTTCCTCATATTTATAATCCTGTGGAACAGGACGTCATGGCTGGACAATTTCATGCTCCTAGTCACCCTGGTGTACTAAAACATTTATTACTTCAGTGATAGGTTAGAATTTTTTTAATGAAAGATCAAAAGGATAAACAATGCAGATTTATTTTCACAGCTGCCTTTGCTCATATTTACCAAGGGTGCCAATATTAGTGGAGGGGACTGTATCTCCCCACTGTATAAGTGTTAGTTAAAGAGGTGTGTCTTAAGGTCACATTCTGTAATAAAGCTTTTTAATGTGAGTATGATCTTCCTTCCAGGATCACGGTTTATACAGCCGTCATGAGTGCCGCCACTCCTGAGAAGTACACAACAGTTGTCAGAGATGTAAGAACAAACCATATCACTACATGATTTTTAAAACATATTTTAAAACATAAAAAAAATTTGAAAACATATTTTCATTAAACATATGCTGCTTAAGATTGATTTTACATATGTTACCACCGTCATGTTATGTGGTATGCTTTCATGATGTCCAGTTGGCTGGTTTGGTAATATAAGTGATTTTGTTGGATGAAACAACATTTCTGTCATAATGTAAGAGGTTGCTATGGCTTCTCTGATATTATTTTGACATTAAGGGAATTTCGCAATACTCAGTTGACATCAGTCTGTCAGCTTTTGCAAGGAGCATCACATGAATTGGTGTGAATAACTAGGTCGCATGTCTTTTCTATGCTTTGGAAACTTCTGTTTCTTGCAATCATTAGTGATGGAACTGTGACTGTTCTGTCTTACTGACATTTTTTCAGATTTTCTACAGTTAATGGTCTTTCTTTTCTGTTTACAGATCTGTATGTGATGGAATGACTCGTTCCCTTGACCAGCTCAGCCATAATTTTCACACAGCTTAGTTCTGAACTACCCAACAACTTCTGCTTCTCTTCTGCTTTTCACAATGGAAATGAGTCGTATTTTAATATCTAAAAAGTAGGGCTGCAAGATATTGTGATAAAGCCTATATCCTGTTTCAATAGGGAAAGTACTTGATTTTTTAATTGATGACTTTTATAGCTATATTTGGAAAGAATCATTAAAAAAAAAATTACCAATATCAGCACAACTGCAAATGTATAACTGATTTTAATAACTTTAATAAATAAGAAGTTAATATTAAGTGACTTAATATTACCAGAAATAATATTGGCTGTTTTTGCTCTATTTTGTCAACACAAATGTATACTTATGTAATATATTAAAGGGGTCATATGATGCTTTTTTAAAGATCATTATTTTGTGTATTTGGTGTAACAGAATATGTTGACATGCTTTAATGTTAAAAAAACATTATTTTTCAAATACTGTACATTATTGTAGGTCCTCTATGCCCCGCCTCTCTCATACGCTTAGTTTTCTACAAAGTCTTTCTACCCTTACCATAATCGCGAGCTTCATCTTTCAAAATAAATGTAAAGACAGAGCCCGAAAGGGGAACAGAGTCTCGTGACAGACACAGTGATGAAGCTAGTATGTGTTTGCAGTACACAAGCCACGGTTAAGACAGCTGACTCCACTGTGATGTGTCTCGCTCTCGCTCTCTCTCTCTCTCTCTCTGTCTTGCTCGCTCACACACACACGATGCGCAAAACTCCTCATTTGAACAGTCAATAGCAAATACTTAAACTAATAACAAAACAGTAGCTGATTCAGAAAAATTGCATCATATGACCCCTTTAAAGCAAGCCCAAAGAAGCTGTGGTGTACAGTGAATTTATAAGAGCTAAGGGGCGTTGTTAGGCACGGTGCGGAGCGCCTTTATAATACTGCATGCATTACTGAACGATTATTATGATATATATTTACACATTAAAAACATATATGATGGATTCTCTCTCTTCTACATGTAATACACAATTGAACTGACTGTACTGAATTGAACTGAATACAATATTAAAATAATTGTTAATTGTAATCATTGAGGGCTTTCTGGATCTTGTGCACGTCATAACAAGAAATGCTCTCACCTCAAATGATTTATTTTTGTGTAATGCATTATTTTGGATTTATTACATGCTATACTTTACACCAACCTACTTCCTTTAGGAAAGTGCCATTTTCCTGTACAAAAGTCTAGTCAAGTCGCATCAAGCTATTACCCTTAATCCCTTCAGAGCTTGTTCACTTAATTCAGCTACACAGATGAAGACTGTTAAGACGCAGACAAACAAACATACCTACTGAAGACCTCGGGAGTTTGACACAAGGTCTTCTCTTATTTTTGAATGAAAATAGTGGATTTTTGCACAGGACATTGAAGGTTTCTCGGGGCACATGGGGGAGCGTGTGACTATACTTTCTTTGTGTCCTTACAAGCTGAATTTTTTGCATTACTACTCTTCGCATTGACTAACTCAAGCACCGATGGGGTACAGAATGCAGATACAATCCTTTGGTTGACATGTTAATGTGATGGAAATAAAGCTTCTGGGATTTCCTTGATTAAAAGAGAAACGCACCAGGTGAGTTTTACCTACCATGATTTATCATCTCTGGCTGCAACCTTTTATGGCTTGGAGTTTTAAGGACACTGTTTTGCTGACATGATTTACACAGCCCTTCATATTATCATTCAATTCAAAAGAAATGCATGGAAAGGCACCAAATACTAAAACTAAATTAATGGTGATATACTGGTGTGAAATCTTAAACCATTTTTTTTTTTTTAAATAGGCAGGATTTAGTATGGGTTAAATTATGTTATAAATATCATGTCTTATTATTTGTAGAATTCATAGAATATTTTTTATAGTAGCAGTCTTGCTTCATTTTACTGTGAACAAGATTCAAAATGCACGTCGCATGAGCTTTTATCAACAGCTCTTTTAAGAGGTATAACCTCAGAACGAGCATGTCTGTTACACTACACTAAATTATTGTGATGTCTGGTGAGCTAATGAATAACCTTCCTTACAAATAAGTCTATAAATCCATAGTCCATAATCCCCAGTTATTCAGTATTTAATAAAAAAAATACCTTAAAATACTCTCCATTCATCTCTGACTCTTGATGTTTTTTTAAAATTGTGAGATAGATACTCAAATGTTAACTATTTTAATGAATAACAGAAGCTGGTTTATAGTGAAGCAGGGCCATCACTGAGGGTTTGAAGCTTGTGGGCTTTCACAGAGGCACAGGTGCGTGTTGACGTCGTCTGCTCTATAAGGAGGATTGAGCAATGAACCCAGATTAACTCGCTCTCTGGATCTCATTAACGTGCGCAACAACATGACATTTAGTGTAGCCTGTTGTCAAAAGCTTGAAAATATTGTACAGTACAGTAATATGATTTACTAGAGTACGTCTGTTGGTCTAAATTTTTGTATTAAATGAATAATATAAATAATGTATTGTGTAAATTGTGTATTACTGAATTAAGTGTTTTTTGTGGTTGTTTTTTATTTATTTATTTATTTTTTATAGTGGTACAATGGTTTCTTAACCATTTAACAAATCCAATCCACATTATTTTGTAATGTGATTTGTATCAAATAAACATATACAAATATAAATCATTGTTTCATACAAGTGCTTAATAAAAGTGCTTGTTATACTGACTTTCATATTTTCTACCTTCAGGAGAAGCCATGGGGTGTGGTGTCACAAAAACCAGCGAATTCAATAGAAAATTTGATAAAGGTAAAATCCTCAAAAATGTGTCCTCATTTGTAAGTCGCTTTGGATAAAAGCGTCTGCTAAATGACTAAATGTAACGTAAAATGTTTTCAATAACAATAATATGAATGGCTAGAGTCATTCAAAGAATGATATATACTGTACCAGTGAGTTCTGTTTATTCCAAGACTATTTAGCTTGTATAATTTGACCTAAATGAATTCTCTTCTTAAAACAGATGGAAATGTCAGCCCAGGTGAGTTTTTACCAGTCCAGCAAAGCTTGTGTAAAACCTCATCTCTCGCCGCTATTGAATTAGAACACGGTTGTCTATTTCTGTGTAGTGTCAATATATAAGTACCTCATTTACATTTTCAACATGTCTTCTTTTTCATGCCTGTCTGCAGCAGCGAGAAGTAAGAAAAATTCATCTTTTATGACCATGATGTCTATTTGACTATTGTTGGGTATTACATAGGCTACTATACACAGAGTTATAAGACTTTCAATAGGCCTTCACTATAAAAAAAATTGCTTGTCTAAGTTGTAGCGTATAAAAGAAACATTATTGGAGTATGTTTCACAAGAAAGTAACCTACTATTTAAGTCTTTTTACTTAATTTACTTAAATTCCACGTTTAATTCAATGGATTTGTAATTACTTGTGAAATTTACTAGCAAAAAATGTTACAAACTAATCCTACACCCGCTTTTTTTCAGTGTATAAATAATAATCTCTCAAATGATGCTAAATTGGGTGTAATTCTAGAAGCCCGACACAAAAACTATTGCATTTAGAGCAAATCTGCTGAATTATAGCCTATTTATTTCTGAGTCTGACCTCAGTCGTGTTCTCTTGAAAGCAATGAAGGCTGCGGTGCTGATCCAGCGCTGGTACCGACAGTATGCGGCTCGCATGGAAATGAGACGCAGATACACCTGGAACATCTTCCAGTCCATGGAGTACGCAGACCTACAAGACCAGATCAAAGTAAGAAATCCATTCTCCACACTATTTTTAACGTAAGAACGGGCGCAGCCATTTGCAACTTGAATGTGCGCGGCTTCCGGTATCCTGCTTCCAGTTATTATACAAAAACAGTCCATTTTGCTGCTTACCCTTACGAAAAAGAAGTTTATACAAGCGTGCCATTAGTATACTTCTTTTAAACTAAAAATAGGAAAGTATACTTTTAGTCTACTTTTTATGTATTTCTCAGAAATATACTTAAAATGACATTTAAGTATACTTGACTTATACTTAGAAAAAGTCTAAATATATTTGAGCTATACTTGTGCTCCGAGAATCTGTGTTTTCATTGTTATATTTTAGAGGCACTAGTACACATCTTCTGTACAGAATTTCCAAAAAACGCGAGTGAAGAAGAAACCGAAACAACAGATGCTTCCACATGTAATCTAACACGATCATCAGACATAAAACAGCATCAAAACTGTGTAACATTATGGAATAAAATGTCGACCAACGAAGAGGTAATAATGACTGTCAAGCTTTTGGGGGTTGATCAACTTTATCTACGTTTTGATTATCATTCTGAATCCAATTCATAGTCTTTTTTCAGATTTTTGTTCAAAATGTTGTTTATTTCTTTCTTTTTTTATTTATGAAACTTATCCACATTCAAGTGTTTAAAAAAAGAGTGCATGAAGCTAGAATAAAATGTTTTTGTTTACAAGCAGATACCCTGTTCTTCTGATGTTTAGTATGTTCACATATTCATGTAACAAAATATATACAAATTAATACCTAAATAGGGACATAGT